TAAGAGTGGCTATGGCGTTGCCTTCCTAGAGCCATCTTTAATCCGAATTTTTCTGTACGGGATGGACTATGCAAGTTAATTTGGACCACATTCTTTTGACTGCTTTTTGGCACACTAATAAAAAGTCGGGGGGGATTTTACGTAAAAACTAACTTGGAATACTAGTTGCCAAGGTGTGCCCTGGTAAAATAACTAAAGTTTGTAAATTTACAGAACACTGTTAAAGAAAACTCTGTAACATTTATGTAAACATATTTCTAAACATTTCTGTAAAATCTAAGCATATACCTTTCCTGTAATTTTTTTTTACATTTTTGGGGGGTAATACATACGATAACAGCAAGAGGAAAAAATATTTTCGACGACTTTTCACTACTTCATAGTCACAACTGCTGACGGTTAAAAGAGGCAAAAGTGCTCAACCTCTGGGTGGGATCGAACCCCAGACCTTGTGGTTGAGAGCCCGATGCTTTGCCCATTGCGAAACGACGCGCTCCGTGTGGGTAGCCCGTCTATACTCGATCTCTTGCTTCCTACTGCCCGGGGACTTTCCGAACGGTTAACTGCCCTCTCTTCTGAAAATGGTTATTTACTAACTATTCTGTCGGGGTTCTTTTACTGTATGCTGTCTGAATACGTTAGTGTTCAACATTGAACGAAATTTGTTAACAATTTTAACTGTATTTTTATGTGCTAGGAAAATTAAAGAAAGTTTCTGCAAAACTACATTACAGATATCCGTAATTTTACCAATAGCTGTTAAATTACCAGAACACGTGGGGATTTTTACAAAAGCTTGAAAATTTCCTATAGGGTTTTTTGCGAAAAACACCTAAATTTTGTAATTTTACAGATACTATTAATTTTACAATAGCATTTCTGTAATGATGTAATGTTCTGTAATATTACAACAAAATTTCTGTAAAAGATTGTCCTCCTCCGTCCTCCTCCGCAGCGAAAAGCAGGGCCTCCTCGCCAAGCGCGACATCAGCACTGGAAAAACGAAAACAGTGAGCGGCAAGTCGTGAGACGTAGTGTCACGCAGGCATCTACTACAGAATTGGGCTCGTGAGGAAATCTAACAATACTTTCGTGGGCGTTGGTGATGCAGCGTCAGTGGGTACTCTATCCCCATCGTCGTCGTCGTCGTTGTCCAGCTCTGCCCCGGTCGGTAGGGTGAAGCAGTGGTGCTGGCACTCCGGCATGGCGGTGTCTTGCCGCGACAACTCCGACAGCAAGCTGATGGCCTTTTTAACGTTGGCCCCGTTGTCGCATGTGCCGGTGTAGATGTTGGCGGGCCCGATGCCGTACTGCTCGAGGGTGGACAGCACCAGGTCCCGCAGGTAGTCGGAGGTGTGGCTTCCCTCGGTCTCGATCATACCCATGTGGCGCAGCACAAGCCGGCCCCCGTGCGCGTACTGGATGTTGATGCTCCGCACTCTGCGATCCAGCCGCGACGCCGTGTCGATCTTGAGGCACACCATCTTCCCTGCCACCTCCTTCTTGATGGTCTCCCGGATGCGTGCTGCTTCCTCCTGGATGTACTTTGGCATGTTGTGACGGTTCAAGTTTAAATCAAGGCCCGGCCCAGGGTCGGCCTTGTTGAGGGCAGAAATGATGGGATCCAGGAGCATGCGCATCCCAGAGTCCTGCAAAAGAGCAAATTGCATTAATATAGTACTAACAGTTTTATTAAAATGTCCAGCTTGAACGGGTTGCAATGTAGCCCCCCCCCCCCGGCGTGCTACCGCTGTAGACTAACTGCCTCCCCAGGACGTCTGGAACGTAGGCAACTAATGTGACGCGACACTGCGCCTGGGTGAAGGCAACCCAACTTGACCTACCTCAACAATGGACAGAGGACGGCCGTTGACGGAGCACAAGGTGACCCCCGCGCGCACTAACGTTTCCCAGTCCATGCGGATATTGATGGTTCCGTCACCCAATCTGCGCCTCTTCGGCGTGGGGGGCGACGAACTGGAGCTAGAGCTGCTGCCGTCCCTTGAGTGAGAGGCCCTCTCCTTGGCCACCCTCAGGTCACTTCGCTTTTTTGCAACAACACTGCCAGCAGTCTCGGAATGGGCGTTCTACAGGTGCCTTTCCAAGTTACCCGCAGAATTTCCCTAGAAAAGAAACACACAAATGACACAAAAGCGACTAAACATTCGAGACACATTTCGTCGCCCGCCTTTGAGACGCCCGGTCCCGGCCTAGGCCATCGCTGCCCCGGGCCAACGCGGCCGAGCCGGGACCGGAGCCGACGGGGGTCGACGTGGGCCGGGCCGGGACCGGCCGGGTCCGACGCCGGCAGGGCCGGGGCCGACGCCGACGCCGGCCGGGGCCGACGCCGGACGGGCCCTGGACCGGGACCGGGACCAGCGGGGCCGTCGCCGGCCGGAGACGGGCACTCGACGAGGTGTACAACATAAACAATAGAAAGTACTCACCGTTATCCATTTCGTGCAGCCATCTACCGTGCAATACGACTTGTTGTCTTCTTTCACAAATCGGAAGTACTGGTGGATAAAATCCAACTTTGGGCGCCCACCTTCACTCATATTGACTGACAGACAATGCTCGATGCGCTCGATGCACGATGAGACGGACTGAGTGGACCAGCCGACGTCTCCAAAACACGACCCGGACGCACTCATCACTCATACCAACCGTCATTTTCTCATGTTGGTTAAAAAAAATTATTTAAATAATTTTACATTGTATTTTTACTTCTAATGCTTGAAATCAATCTCGACACGTAAAAATAATTTTGAAAAAACCCACATGATATTATAATATTTGTCATCGAGTTGGTTAACCTGTCTGTTTTGCTATATAAAGCGGTGATTCCGCCCCCCCCCTCCCCCCTCTCC